AGGTGGAGCCAGGTGGAGCCAGGTGGAGCCGGGTGGAGCCATGTAAACCAATGTCTTTGAGTAAGGAATGGTAGACTTTCGAGTTTAAAAGTATCCCCTGAAAAGACTATCAAAAGTACAAAAAGAAAACCTCCTTACGCAGACACAACGAAAACCTCCTTGTACCACGTGGGACGACGTGCGGGGCCTTGCGGAGGCGGATCCCCGTGCAATGTCACGAGTCGGGGAACTCTAGCCGCAGCTACAGACCGTCCTGAAATTTACGAGCCGAGGTACGGTCCCGTTCCTCTTCGCGTAGAATCGACGTGACGTCTTTCCGCCGAGTGTTTTTGATACGGAGGCGGCCTCGCCAATCGATCGGAGCCAGTACAGCCGAACCGGAAGTAGGACGTTTAGTCTCGATGGAAATGACAACGACGAATCGAGACCGAGTCACTCAACTTTGGATCCCACTCGAACTGGGTCGGATAAATTCGTTTGGTTTTGTAGGTTAATAAAAATGACGGTCGCGTCAATTTGTGTACAATGAGACGGGAAATTATTTGTATGCGCAGGAAGCAAAAGGAATACGAAATGTAGGAGGAATAACAAAGGAGTTTGCTATGCTTTTTGTTTAAAATGATGAATACGTAGACTATGGGTTAATCCGACTTATTCCAATCGATACTCCTTCGGCTACGGTCCGTGTTCTTTAAACATCTGCTGAATTTAGTAATCTGAGATTATCGAAAGTACACAACGAACCAATTAGCCCTTATCGACATTTTCACGTCGACCAAAATGTTAAACCTTTTACCTCTCGAAACCGAGATAAACGTTTCATGATAAAACATTCGATATTTCACGAAGGAATTTCTAAACAAGCAACACGTGACTTACGTACGATTTATTTTTGATCGTTACGTGGAATTATTAAATAATTCATCCTTGTATATTCGTGTCAATAATTTTTGAGAAATAATTAGTTTTGGACATTAACCGTTCGCCTGGAGAGGTCTTCAAGTGCAACCCACGTGTCTTTACGGTTTTCCCCGAAATCACGTGTCGTAATCATCGTGTTTTACGACGGCTGCCTCGAAGTGGATACTATTAGATCGATACAACCAGCCCTGGCCACGGGTGCTTCTGAGACACGTTGATTGCGGCCTGTGCAGCTAATCTTTTTTTTCATTCTGCTATTCCCATTTCTCTCTCTCTCTCTCTCTCTCTCTCTCTCTCTCTCTCTCTCTCTCTCTCTCTCTCTCTCTCTCTCTCTCTCTCACTCACTCTCTCTCCCTCCCTGGAGTAAAAGATCGCAATCAGCCAGCAATTGTCATACCGCCGTCACGGGAGACCGCGTGGCTCAGATTGCGCCTCGAAGAGGACGTCGAAGAAAAGGTAGTGGTAGAAAAATAAAAATAATTTTGTACGTTGAAGAATAAGAATATTTTTTAATTCTTTTACATTTCTAATTTTTTGTATCCTATTTTGGGGAATTCTGCATGATAGGCTGAGGGTTGGAGATTCCCATAAACTACGCAGTGGCTCGGGGAATCCCATAGGTTACGCCGACACTTTCGGGAAACCCCCAGTCAATGGCGAGACTTGGGGAATTCCCTAGTCAATGCTGAGGTTTGGGGAATTCTAGACTAACCTTTGTCTATGCTATGGTTTGGGGATTC